ATCTGAATTCTTTTTTCATATCCTTTTAGGCGCAATAATGTAAAACAAAGATCAGGGGCAGAGGACAAGTTGGGACATATAGAGGACAACCTCCAGAGGCACAGGCAGAAGGTTCAATAATCAGATATTTACCATTGTTTTTCTTTACAATTCAAATAGTCTTTCCCTGACTTCAGCAACAGGCAAGTCTTCCCCGTAGTTAACTCAAAATACTTTTTTTTTCTGCTCCATCAAGAGCTTTCTTTTAGCACATGAAAGCCATCCAAGTTCTCTTCATTTTACAAGGAAAAACCCTGAAAAGACAAGCTGGCTTATCACAGAATGGTTAGGGTTGGAAGGGACCTCTGGAGATCATCTAGTCCAACCCCCCCGCCAGAGCAGGGTCACCTACAACAGGTTGCACAGGACAGCGTCCAGGCAGGTTTTGAATGTCTCCAGAGTGGGAGACTCCACAACCTCTCTGGGCAGCCTCTTCCAGTGCTCTGCCACCCTCAAAGTAAAGAAGTTCCTTCTCATGTTAAGATGGGACTTCTTATGTTCGAATTTATGAAGATTGCCCCTCGTCCTATCACTGGGCACCACTGAAAAAAGACTGCTCCCATCCCCCTGGCATCCTCCCTTTAAGTATTTGTAAGTATTAATAAGATCCCCCCTCAATCTTCTTTTCTCTAGACTAAAGAGACCCAAGTCCCTCAGCCTTTCCTCATATGAGAGATGTTCCAATCCCCTAATCATCTTTGTAGCCCTTTGCTGGACCCTCTCCAGCAGTTCCCTGTCCTTCTTGAACTGGGGAGCCCAGAACTGGACACAGTACTCCAGATGTGGCCTCACCAGTGCAGAGTAGAGGGGAAAGATGACCTCCCTCGACCTGCTGGCCACACTCTTCTTGATGCACCCCAGGATGCCATTCGCCTTCTTGGCCGCCAGGGCACATTGCTGTTGTCCACCAGGATTCCCAGGTCAATGATACCATGTGAACCACTGAAGCAGATGAAAACTGAAGCATTTTTACAGGATGTTCATTTTCTTGCTTACCTTCAGGGCAAAAGTGGTTCAGAACACTAATCAAAAGTGCCTATCCAAAATATGAACTCTTACTAACATAATTAGGCAGTAAAGCCTGACTAGCTTATCTCCAGCTCTGCTTCCTTTTCAGCTTACAGGCTAACTCTAATGAGTTGTTGTAGTCATTAGTGGACATTGATAATATGACTTCGTTCCCAGGTGGGTGATTTTTTTTAATTCTATAATCACTCAGACTCCTAAATTAAACCCTGAAGGAAAAGGAAGAAGAAAGCAGCCTTCCCATAACCCAAGTAACTTCTTACACTAGCGAGCCACTCTATCTTACATCATCATGCAGGGCTCATTATGAAAGCAGAGCTCATTACAAAAGTTTTTACTCATACACGGTGCACAGGCTACATAAAACCACAATATGAATACCCTTATCAACTCCATAGGAATTACTTTGCCAAAACGCATTGATGGTCTTCCTGCCTGCCTCTCCTAATGACAGATAACATCTGATCTTTGTGAGAGGCATAACCTCCCCATTATACACTCTAAATGCCCATTATTAGAAAGGCAAGATGACTTCTTTTTGACCCCAACTACTAATAAGCTTATGCTATGACATATAAGAACAAAAAAAAAAGTTTTGTAATACGTTGGCAGGTGTGCCTACCAATGTTATTTTTCTTTTCAACTGTATGTCCAGTCACTTGACTCCTACTGCCTTCTCCTATTTGTTCAAAGGGGTACAATACAGCTAAATGTACTTGAAGCACCTGACGTTTTACTGTCTTTTAGCATATTCTAGATTTCACTTCTCTCTAATTTTGAAAACTCGAAAGTGTTGAGATATTGCACAGGATTTTTTAATTTTCTTGTTCTGGCATTCACCACTGTACCAAGGTGCAGATCACATAAGGCATTAAATAATGAACTTGCTTCAGTGCAACAAATGACTTCAGAAGCAGAAATGGGCTTTAAAAATGTGCAGTTAAGAACTTCCACTTCAGGTGACTTTGGACAATATAGACTGCACTGTGAATTGCTATTGTTAAGAAAAAAAATATCTGTTATTGTGTTAGTATTAGACAGACCTGAACCAAAACCCAAGAGGTAAACACAAATTTAAAATACTTTGAATCTTTCTAGGGATTTGCACTGCTTTCATCACTATATTACTACTGAAGTCTATGAATGAACTTCACAGTCTGGACTCAGCAATTCAGTTTGTGCTACCAGGGCTAATATTTGCAATGGGTTATTGGAGATCAAGTTGGAAAAGATGTCTCATCCACACTAAATTTAACAGCTTCCTCATACAGTGCTGTACATCTTCCTTATAGGTTTTCCAAAGGAGAATCCTTTGAAAGATTGTTAGGCAAAGGGATAAATTTTTCCATCATTAGCCTTGTAAAGATCATGACACTCCTCCTTAGAAGGTTGTTCCAGAGATACCCCCACAGCAAAAGGATACAAGCCAGTTCTTTTGTATTTTTTCCATATTCTCCAAAGCACCAAAATGAATCAACACAGTCATTCTGTAGAATATGATCTGTGTTCATCTAAAGGATTTCAGGTAGTCAAAAAACATTAATTATAAATAGCTCCCGTAGCAGTATCCCGGTGCTGACTGCACACAGCGCAGCAGCCAGGTCCCATGGAGGTTGCCACATCAGTCTGAAATCACAGTTGTAAAGGCAGATGCAGCATTTGGTGCAATGCAGAAATGTATTGTGCCAGCCAGAGAGATGTCACTTTTGAGATCATCGACATGAAGGCATGAAAGCACAATTTTAACCCCCTGACATTATCTTCAAGCAGTGGTTCCCTGTTCTTCTGTGCAAGTCAGTTACAATCAGAGTTTTCTGTATCAGCATACCCAACTACATCCCTGGAGCCAGTTTCACCCCTAGACATACAGAAGAATCCAAAGAAACTTGTTCTTTATTGACGAATCTGTTTCAATATTTCACATCACTTGGCCTTAAGACATTCACATGCTAAGCTGCTAAACCCATTTAATTTACCTTTGCAAAATGATTTCCAGTTACTCAGTGCAATGCCTGAGGACATACTGGAATCTCAGGAGATTATAAGATTTGCTCAGAATATCTGTCTTCTAATGACACAGTATGCCTGTTTTTCATTTTAGTGTCGCCATTTCTGAGGTGAAAGAAGGAAAAATATTGTGTAAAATAAAGAATTAAAACTAGTACATAGCTTAGGCTAGAGAATAGGTCTGTTTAGAAATCCTTGTACTGCAGTCGGTGTGCAGTAGTCTACCATCTTGTTGAGGTCTTTTGCTTGTTGCACCTATTATGTGTTCTGCTTTCTGCTAGGAAAGAAAGCATTTTGCATATCTTTTAATAATGACATTCCCATCAAGGGAATACAAACTTCTGGCTTTTAGTATTTTTTAAAAATCCCTTAATCAGCGAGCACACGTTATACCTAAGGAGTTGAGGGAAATACAGATCATCTGAATCAATATCCCTGAACAGAATTCACCGGGCAAACCAAACATGTTCGACTGTCTTTTTCAGACAGATGAAGGATGTGATCCAAGCCAGCCCTGATGCAAAAGCTGTATAGTCACATCAGCACAATACCGCTTCTTGCTGAAGCAGGTTTGGCTTCTTAGCTACAGTACCGGGCTGCCCCGAGGTACGGGTACACAGCTTCTGACTCAGAACTGACCTGCCTTCTGTGAACATAGAGCACAAGCAGGGAGAGCCCACATCTATCTGCAAAGAAACAGAAAGAATTTGTTTTGCTTAGGAGAGGCAGACGAGCGTTGCTGTCTACATGTGTGGGCAGGGGAGAGGAATCAATCAAGCAATGGGACGTTGTCTGTGGAAGATTAGCTATAGGGAAACTGAAAAAGTTTAGGCTGAAAAGTAGGAAAATGCTTCTTCCAACACAGCAATGAGATACTGGAACAGTTTCTTTAAAGAAATACTAATCTTAAAATTTGATTTACTTATAGAAAGGGTTTTATAACACAGTTGGGTGGATGGACAGAAGAATCCAGAGGATAGCTCTGTGTTCTTTCAAACAGCCTGAAATCACAACGGAGCTCTGGTCCGACACCCCAGAGGGAAACATACTGTGATCCTGGAAGGTTCACACACAAATTCAGGTCTGAAATATAAGGCTGAAGTTCAACTTTGGAATATATTCCTTAGATACCTCACATTTCTTATCTAACCTCTATTTTCTCCAGGCTAACTGACAGGCTTCTAGATGGGATCCTAGAAGATACTCTACTGAAGTCTTGCAAGATCCATAATACTTTCCTTGTCTAGAGTTTTAATCAAGGAAAGATAATAGACCTTTCTTGCATGTATTCCATTTTCCACTTATATAATTTTCCACTTATATAATAAATAATTATTTCCTTCAAAATTGATTCTAAAGCTTTGCATACCAGATCAGACTAAAAATTTTGTAGTTCTTAAATGCCAATTATTTCTATTTTTAATTGTATATTTCATCATTGTTCATTTACCTAAAATTCACAATAGTAAACCTGTAAATTAATATACCACTAAGTTCAGAATTCTTGGCTGAGTATTTATTTCAAAATTGTTACCTATCATTTTCTGTTTGCTCTCGTGGTTGCTGTGTTCAATTTTGGGGGAAGAATTAAGAACCTAATATAATTTGAAAATTTACAGAGATGATGGGGCAATGTCTTGCAAATACAACACCTCTCACAAAAATTTCTTCTAGATACTACGTTCTGATTTTCTTCACAGACATTTTTCATTATTCTAATGAATACATTTAACCTCTATTTACAATGTTTTGGAGACATACTTTCTGCTTCCCGGACTTTAAAAAGACTGGGAAAGAGCCTGCTCTTCACACTGCCCATTGTGAGGGCTCTCTGAACAGTTTTGTTCCCCGCCAACTCAGCTGATCAATGAACCACCAAGCTGTTTATACTAACTTCCAAGAAGCACTGTCTTCTTCACATGGCCTACCTGAATCAGCGTGTCCAGCTCTAGCTGGGTTACACAAACATGCTCCCGAAGAAAGTCAGCCTTCTCTAGAGCAATTGTGTTCTTCTGCTTGCTTTCAAAGGGCTGCTCTAGGGCACGGAAGACAAGTCCTCCTGTCACCAGGTAAACTACCACCACGACAAAGATGGCCACCACTGTTTTCCACTTCATGACTGTCTGCAGGCCTTGAGAAGGGGCTTCCATGGTCGCAACAACAGTGGCTCGGGAAGAAATGGAGAGTCGTGGAGCTGCGTAATGCCCGTTAGTTTTGGGCTCGGGTTCACAAGCTGGCACCGGTGAGGGAACAGCCACTGAAACACAAAGTAAAAAAATCTTATTTGAAACAAAATCCCTATGGGGATCCCTTGATCTTCATATACAACTTTCTTAAATACCATTTCAAGACTCTTGTATAAACCGTGTTATTCATGTAGAAGCGATTCTTCTCATCTGGAAGGCTCCACGTGTGTTTTGTGCATTCATACACAAGCCACCCCAAGGGTTGACTTCAACCATTACCTCTTGAACTGGACAGGCCAGTAACATACGCAAAAATTTCAGAAGGATGCAGAAAACCATTTATCCAATAAGAACATGAAAATTTTCATTAGTTAGGACATAAGTTACACAAGGTGGTGTTTGATAAGGGAGGGACCCTGCCAGTGATTTATGTCCTTAAATCATAATACTAATAGTATTGATAGTGCTTGGAAATTGAACTGTTATGATCAATGATCACTACCTGGCCTGGTGTTAACAGAAACAGAAAAGGCTTTGCAAACCACAATGCTGTTTGGCTCACCAACATAAACAGGCCCATATTATTTACATGGATTCACAAAACCATCACTTCTGAAAATGTTCTTAAAGCCTGGAAGCTTCACAAATTTTAGCATAAATGGTTCTTCAGCCAAAGCATACTAGATATCTGAGGTCAAAGTCACTCACATGCCAAGCGCAATGATGGACCTCCCAGCTTGGGACTGTGACACTGTATAGCCCACGTCACCTCGGCAGTACATCAGAGCCAATAAGCCCTGACTTTCAGCCAGACTTATTAGCCTGACTGCTGTGTCAAGCTATCAAGGCATCCAAATCAAAGCTGGCTCACCTCCAGATAACTCAGGTGTCTCAGCACCACACTTCCCCACTCTCTGTTGCCAGTGTTAGCAATGGCAGGATGAGACCGGGTTCCTCAGCATCCATTGGCATAATGGTACCACATGCAGGCTTTAAAGATGCTGAATTCATTTTAAACCAAATCCCTACTGTAATCTTACCATGATGCAGCTGTCACTGGCCTGTAATTTCTTTGAAACCGGATTGATTTATTCATATCAGACCTAAATCAGATTACAGTTAAAGTAGTCACTTTAGCTGCATTCTCTGAACTTATTCCCAAAGTGTCTTTACTGTTTTACTCAGAAATTAAAGCAGAAGGATTTACAACATCTGATCAGAGTGGGACCGTAAACTGATTCTATGCATTTTGAACATACAACGTGATTAAACCTTAAGTTTGAAGTGGGCTACAACCCTGTCCCAATAAGAACCATTTTATGACACTGAGTAATTTAAGAACTCAGCTGTTTACTACAGTCACATTTTCCTAGAAGCAATACATCCCTGAAGCATTGCATTGAGGACAGAGCTTCCAGTTTACTTGCTAACCAATAAACTACAGAAATCTATAGTTGCTTTATACTTATGGTTAATATTTCTTTTCATATGTGACTTGGAGGCTTCAGATATTAAACAGATCAGAAAGGATCCAGGATCAGATGAAAAGCCTCTGTGGTTGATCCCCTTTGTGTGCATCTCAGTTTTGCAACACCCCGTAGCACAGCTGCTCAGTTTGACCATCAAAAAGTCATTATGGTTCCCAACACTTATGAGCTAGGATGGAGTGACATCAAACTTAAAAGGATACTTTCTCTTACCTCCACATATATTTCACATGAGTTCTAAGAACTTGAAGTAACAACAGGGAGAAGAGTGACAGTATTAGAAAGAAGTCACATTTTTTGTAAAAGAGATCAATTATTTCATTCTCTAAATCTCCTGAATTTAGCAGGAAATACCACAAAAGTATTCAGATGAAATGTAAAATAGAGACGTTGTATGAAGCAGTTAGAACCTCGCTTCCTCTATATGCAAATATCTTAAATCTGAGCCACAATGTCTCCTTACTAAACTAATTCAATTTGAGTATTCCTAGAAGCGGCTCAGCTGACGTAAATCAGTGTAACGTAAATTCCATGGATTCCATGGAATTCAATAAATTTACGTTAGTTAGAGCCCATAACTAGTGTATATCTTGTGAATCAACACAAAATCTGCAAGCCTGAGGGCAAAATCAGCACACTTGAGATTACTCAGCAAAATAGTCTCAGGATCCAAGGCTCACATGGTAAGGAGAGAGCAGAATTCATACGACAGAAACAGCATGCTCCAACTTTTTGAAACAGCCATCCACCTTACCATGACTGCCATAGTCTAGTGTAGGCTGGGTGAGCCTTCCCGTGGAGAGAGCTTCCTGACTTTGATATCCCACAAATGGTAAGTCAAGAGGAAGGAAGTCAAGAGCTGGTAGAGTTAAACTAGCTTTTGTGAGCTTTCTTTTCCTCTATGGTAGTATAAACATTTCTTATTCAAATCGTATTTCTGGCAAAGTGTTAATAACAGCTTTACAATAAAATCATGGCCTGTTTGATTCTGTCTTCAAAGGAAAATGTGTTGTACTGATTTAAGAACAAGATGGGAAGTTCAGGGTAGGGAACGTAAAATGTTCTTCTAAATATTGTGTCACTTACTTAAACAGCTTAGTGGATTACTGTGCTTGGCTTGCTTACCTCTAAAATAAAAGCTGGCTCTTTTCCAAAGAGCTGTGTTAAAGTCTTGCATCTTCTGCTATTAGTAATAGCTACCCTAAGCGTATGTAGAAATGTTGATCCTTAAGTATTTTATATGATATAAATTGATACACAGGAAGACTCTACTAAAGCAGCTAGTTGAGCAACTGATGTATAATAGAGAGAGTCTTCTTACAGAGCTGATGCAGAAGGCACAACTGCAGTCAATACCCCAGAGATGTTTCAGGGCAGATTTTAAGCAGCAGTTAGGTAGCTGCAATCTAGCAACTAAGATTTTAAGCAGCAGTTAGGTAGCTGCAATCTAGCAACTACCTCACTCTTTATGACAAGAGAGTGGAGTTAGTGACTTGAGCACATGGTAAGAACTCAGAAGACCCATTCTAATTGGAACTCTGTCTCCATGAAACTGTGCTCTCAGAAAAGTGCTACAATTTGCCTTTAAACCATGGTTTCACCAACTAGAAAAAGATAAAATAGTGCTTACTTTTCTAACACGAGTGTCCTATAAGAATCCACGTCTGTACAATTTTTTAACAAATATATAGACAAAAAGTTTAACAGATTTTAGTAAAATCAAATGATGGACTACAGTGGCAATTCAACAATGTGCAGAGATACACAAAGAGTTTAAGAAAATTAAGGGCTACATAAATTCTTGGATTTGTAAAGATAGTTTAGACTATAGTTCAGGACAAACGTAGAGAAAAGAGAAGAAGATACGCAGAATAATCCCTGTTTTATTTATCCACCTTTTTTGAAAACAAGCTGCTGTCAGAACAGGCTTTTACTAGAACAGAGCCTCATCCAGGTGTGTCTGTTAAATTATATCAAAGATGATTTAATCTGCCTCAGTGAAAGCAATGATGAATATCCATTCACATGCATGCACTAAATTAGACAGGTAACCTCAAAGGAGCAGGTACCCTCAAACAAACACACGAGTATTTTGACACAGGCCTTACCCCAGTAAGAAGATGCCAGTGGGGAAAGAAAGGTGAGTTCCTGTTTGTTTGGATAAGTTTCAAAACAAAGCAATTGAATATACTCATGTTGCAAGTCAAACTAAAATGTTACCATCCGTACAGTTGTTCACCTCCCCGAGAGTATCACACTCCCTGCACTTGATGTACTGACGAACAGTACAGGCAGACCTCCCATTGGCATGTGAGGAGCTTAAATACCTGAGATTTCTGCTAATATTCATGAGAATTAAGGAATCAAAACTCTTACTCACTGACCGGCAGGAAGACTGGGGCAAAGCTCAACCCAACAGAAGCAGTTGGCAGTTGGACTAGGTGACCGTTGTAGGTTCCCTCCAACTGAAATATTCTATTCTAAAGCAAAACGCTGTAATGTAAAACACTGGAGCTATTGAAATGATGCACCATAAGACATTGTTTCAGGTTAAAAATTGCCCTTTATTACTGCAGGTATGCTTTGCTTTAGGAGACTGATGTTTCTAAGAATAAGTTAGACTGATTTCTGCCAGAAATATTTAGGTATAGTTGGCCTTGCTTTACAGCAGCAGGGTGAGCTAGATAGCCTGTTATGATTCTGTGAAAATAGTTCGTACAGCCACCTCAGAAGGACAGCTTCAAATCAGCCAAAACGCTGAGAGGATGTTCAACTGGCTTTTGACTATGAAAATGTTAAGCATGGCTTTGCCACGCTGACCTATATCCTGGCAACTATCTTACCCAGTATGCCAAGAACGCAGGAGATACCGAAGAAACCTAGTTTTAGAGGAGAGTTTCTCAACTGGTTTAAACCAAAAACATTTTTTTTATATTAACATACCCTCCTCTGTGGTATTGCTGTGACAATTTTTATCTGTGAAAAAATGTAAGTCAGGTTTAATGGAATGTCTTATTTAGTACTTTTTTTTCTTCCATGTTCCTATGTTACATGAGCACACAGGAATCTATGTACATTTTAATGAGAGTATAATAGTGTATTCTTGACACATCTGATGCAAGCGTTGCTTCCACAGGATTCAGCACAGAATTAGACTGAAGCCATATACACTTATGCATTCATAAACCCAGCTGGCTTTAAGTTGATCAAAAATGAAACTGGACATTTCATCTCCCATTTTAGTGGGTCCCTCCAAATAAGACAACAAAGTACTTTCAGCTGAAATAAAAAGGTTCTTTGATGTGCATCTGAAGGTAAGTACCACTGTATTTCTCAAAAATCCTCGTAATATGATGGGAGTTTTCTTTAAAGAATGGAAATTACGCTTTTTTCAAACATTTACATAGTCAAGCACTAAAAATTTCCCATGGAGTCTTCCTTATCTTTGTCTTAAAATTAGAATTTTAGTTTGAATTATACAGCAATCTTATCATGCAGTCCTGTTTCGCTGAGAAAATTCATGAGCAAATCATACTCCCTACAGCTTTCACAAGATCCTACATTGGGTTATCAGCACTTGTACA